GAGTTAGGGTTAGAGTAAAAGGGTGGGGTTAAGCCTGGGGGGCTCTTATTCAAAGGTCCTGGGTTCAAATCCAGGTAGCGACCGAAAAATTTTCTTCTTATATTGTCTCCTTTCACCTCCTTTCCTGCTCTCTTGCAATGTTCTGTTGTCTGCTTTCGTCCCCACTTTCTGCCCCCACCCCCTTATATGCCCCCTCCTGTGGGTTCCTGACTCTTTCTGCAGCCTTTCCACTGCTTCTCCTTGGCTCCTTCTTACTGCCGTCTTTCAGCCACATCCCTGATCTTCTGGTAGGAAAGATCTACAGTATGTTAAAGATCCCATGGTGGTCCAAAATCGATAAGAGTAGACTTTGGCCGCCACCAGGGCAAGATTCAAAATTTCCTACCAAATGAAAATGTTAGGTGTGTCCCGCTCACTCGTCATACGGCCTTATGCAGTTGCGAGTGCGGTAAAACACTTACCAAAAGAAAGTACCCCAAACCCTGACTCAAACCCTCTTTTTTTTTCTGGTAGGCCTAAGTGTTTTACAGCGCTCGCAACTGCATAAAAGGTCACATTTTCAGTCAGTAGAAAATTTTGAATTTTGCGTGGGTGGCGGCGGAAGCCTACTCTTAGCGATTTTGAACCACCAAGGGATCTTTAATGTACACACCTTGCATAGGGGACCTCCGAGATTTTTCGTCCTTGTCCGAGAAGGCTAGGTGTAGTACTTTCCTACCATAAGATCAGGGGTGTGTCTGAAAGACAGCAGTAAGAGAGCATTTGCCAAAAGGTGAGATACCTGGGTGTGACAAATGAGGTCCAAAATCAACTTTATGTAATAATTCTTTAATCACCCATATTATATAGCCTAATGATTGCTCTTTCAGGCTCAGTAACTGCCAAAGCTGTGTATGCAATGGTCTTGGTGTAATTCTGACTTGAATGACGGAAATAGCAAAAAGTTTGTTCATAACAATGATGACACAAATTTATATGAATACTCAAATTTCCTTTCTTCAGTTAGGCTGATGTTATATTTTGAGACATAGCAAATAACTTCCAAAAATACATAGAATTGACAGTTTATAAAAATCTCTTAATTTTTGATAAAATTACTTTTTTGTGTCATAATAGTTATGAACGAACAATAAGTGACCAAAATACTATCCATTATGTCAAGTTTCATTGACTAGAATTGTCTGAAATAACACTCTGGTCTAATTATAGTCAAGTGATAAATGAAAGAACATTGAACTGCTATTTTTAAATGCAAACTGGTCATGGGCATGTTATGCATAAATTTAAAGTTCGTTCATAACCATTATGACACACTGTTTCGTTCATAACTATTATGACAAATTTTACTTTTGGCCCCTAAAATTTACTTATTGTTCTGTCATTCACATAAAGTTGTTTTAATTTATGAGACTCTCCTCAAAATAAGGTTATATGTTGGAAGAATTCAAAGTTTAATCACTGAAAAACCCTTAGAATACCTTTAATGGTTCGTTCATAACTATTATGACAAACTTCAGTTTTGACCTAAAAATTAATATTTTGACCTGTCATTTACTTTAAAGTTTTATATTAAATGAAAGTTTCCTCATAATATGTATCTGTGTACATATGTTTTTAAAGTTTATTAACACTGAGAAGCCCTCAGAGTACAATATGTAGTTCGTTCATAACCATTACTACAAAAGTATAATATTAATTAAAATCCACACCCATACACTTATGATAAAAATCAAAATATCAGAAAGTATGCAAGGTCTATTCTGTCCTTTAGTTGGGTTAAAATTAAAAATACATCCCAAAACAACTGTAAATTACATGGAATAAGGTTTCATTCATAACCATTATAAATGACACACTGTTTCGTTCATAACTATTATGACAAATTTTACTTTGGGCCCAAAAATTAACTTATTGTTCTGTCATTCACATAAAGTTGTTTTAATTTATGAGACTCTCCTCAAAATAAGGTTATATGTTGGAAGAATTCAAAGTTTAATCACTGAAAAACCCTTAGAATACCTTTCATGGTTCGTTCATAACTATTATGACAAACTTCAGTTTTGACCTCAAAATTAATATTTTGACCTGTCATTTACTTTAAAGTTTTATATTAAATGAAAGTTTCCTCATAATATGTATCTGTGTACATATGTTTTTTATGTTTATCAACTCTGGAAGCCCTCAGAGTACAATATGTAGTTCGTTCATAACCATTACTACAAAAGTATAATACTAATTAAAATCCACACCCATACACTTATGATAAAAATCAAAATATCAAAAAGTATGCAAGGTCCATTCTGTCCTTTAGTTGGGTTAAAATTAAAAATACATCCCAAAACAACTGTAAATTAAATGGAATAAGGTTTCGTTCATAACCATTATGACACACTGTCACGTTCATAACATGATGACAATCCATTATGACAAGCATGTTTTTGCCTCTTCTTCGCTTCTCTTTTGAGTCATCAGCACGCTACTCTTCCATGTTCATTCCACCATGTAAAAGGATGTTGTGAAACAGTGGGAAGTCTCTCACATGATATTTTGCAGAAATATCATAAAGTGTTTGTTCATAACATCATTATGACAAACCTGGATTATCTCAATCAAAGTCATATTTAAGCAAAACCGTGCGATGGAGCGGAAAATTACCCTTCTGATGAATCAATGTCAAACCAATGTTTAATACCGGTCATTCCTCGGGATGATATGTTTAACGATTTGGGTTTTCTAGACCTTGGAAAGTCTGATGATGTAATTATGACACGAGTTATGAACGAACTTATAAATTTTGCTCAGCAATAACATCATCAATATAAAAAAATAAAATCCTTTTAATGGACACACCCTGTTATGATGGTGTATACAAACTATTTTCAATGTTTGATTGCACTACTGTTTGATAGTTTAAGATTAACAATATTCTGTATTTAACATACAATTACGTGTGCACTCAGGATGAATAAAAAATGCCCTATTTTTAGTACTATTATCTTTCTATGAAGAGATATAAGATGCACACATCAATCTACTTGCTCACGCAGCTTGACCAACTTATTTCCTTGCCATATGCATAAAGTTTATGCACACATCAATCTACTTGCTCACGCAGCTTGACCAACTTATTTCCTTGCCATATGCATAAAGTTTTCAGAAGAAAATATATTTTTCTATGAGTAGTGGTTGATTTAAAAAGTCCTCATGCAAACACCCCCACCTTTTGGCAAAAGCTCAAGAAGGATCCAAGGAGTAGCAGTAGAAAGACTGCAGAAAGAGTCAGGATCCCAGAGGAGGGGGCAATGGAGGTGAGGGGGTGGTTGCAGAAAGTGGAGATGAAAACAGACGACAGAATATTGCTTTAGAGCAGGATAGGATGTGAACGGAGACAATTTAGAGAGGAAAAATTTCCATCACTATCCGGATTCGAACGCAGGACCATTGAATGAGAGTCAAACAACTTACCCTTTAGGCCATGAGAGCCCCCCTCCCCAACCCTCTATGGTACTCTATCTCATAGTGGTCGCTCGTTACGAAATTCATCTCGTAATCTTATAAGCCAGTAGCCTCTTGTACTAACTCACAGTGAACTGGGTTGAGTTTCTCGACCCAGCTGATTTAGAAACCCTTGCTATCAAGTACTAAGTACAGTCGACTACACATGAGTCGATGTCATCGGGGAGTTAAAAAAGATCAACTTATTCAAAGTTCAACTTAACAGTCGGGACCACAAAATCAAGGGACATGTGTAACAAAATCTTTTCCTCTGTTCATAGTTTTCATTTTGGTACTGTAGTTAAAATAGTGGCCACAGAAGTACAGAAGAGAGAGAGAGAGAGAGAGAGAGAGAGAGAGAGAGAGAGAGAGAGAGAGAGAGAGAGAGAGAGAGAGAGAGAGAGAGAAAGAGCATCTTGTGTAAACAAAACAAACAATACTAACATAACAGATTGCATTGTTGTATTCTTGTGTACTGAGACTGTAGAATTGTCATTTTTTAAAAATTTTCTTGTCAAAATGCAAAATGTACCCAAGTTAGATCTGTAAAATCCCTTGAGTAGTGAACATTATTATAGCGGTCTTGACTCAATGCGATTGAGTCTGTTGCCCAGTGTGCTCTGAGTAATAGATAAGGACATAATGACCTGTTTTGAATGCTTTTCACATAATAATTTATAGCTGTGGTTGTTAAGTGCTAACTAAAAGGAAAATTAAACGATATTGTCCAGTTACTACTTCCTTCTCTTCACATTTTATCTTCCTTGATATGCTCGAAAGGAAAGCCGTCGTCAATGCGTTTAAAATCAAGGAAGGTGTTAGGGTGTGTCTTACAAATGTACTATTTTTCAGTAATTGTGATGAGAAATTTTCTAAAATATAGCATGCAATTAAAACATTTTTACCTGGATCGCAGCGTAAGGGCTTTCTCTTCTACCACTATCTGCCTTTCAGGGATCTTTAATTTGCCCAGTATGCACACGAGCTGCTGAGATTTTTTTTGTCTTTAGATCAGCCGATAAGACCAGGTGCTAAATCTCAACTCTAAAGATGTGGGGCTTGGAGGAAGGTAGAGATTGAATAAGTTTTTTAATGAAGAAGAGGGAAATTGAAAAGATGAAGAGGATATATAGATCTAGCAGAAAGAAGTGAATCTTTAACATCAGCTAAGACCGGGCTTGAACCCAGTGCCTTTGGCATGAGAGGTTAGCAACATACCTTTAGGCCACATTTCCCCCTCATTCATTACACAACATTTTCGCTGTAACTTAAGTTTGATTGATACAGTTAAAGTCCATGCTGTTTCTGTGCACTGCCTGTGGAATTTATTTATAAACAAATATTTTTGGAGGATTACTCCCTAAAGAAAAGACAGGTTTCATCTTTGGCTCTCGTCTTTCGTGTTATCCGTTTTATCCTTGTGGAAAAACAGTTTCAATTCATTTCTTTCTTCATTACTTATATATTTCATTCAGTATCAATATCTTCAATCTGCTTTCAGTTGGTGACAACAGATTAGAAGCCAGACTGAAAGAGGAAGTTGTTTGTGCCCACAATGGCCTCCCACCCTGATGCAAAGGAAGCTGTACCAGCAGGAGAGGACTCTGCGGTGTTTAATGAGGAACCACTCCTTCGCCGCGACAGTCAGAAGGTTCGTCAAAATCGCCAGCGCACAAAAGAAAGAACTCCCACAAGGGTGGTCAGTGACGTGTTTGCCTTCCTCAACCAGAATCCCTCTGCATATCTGGAGGATTTGAACAACGAGGATGAGAGAGAGGAGTCTGGGTCGGTGAGTGCTGGGGACCCGATGTACGCTAATGTGAAACGAGGACTGATAGATGCCGTCGATCATGCTGAGGAGGACGGAGGCAGAGTCTTGTGTCCGGAGTTCAGTAGTGGAGGGCCAAACAACTTTATGGGCGAGAGCCATGAAAAGTTTGTGAATGGGTTTCAGTCCAAAGATTCTGGCTTTGCTTCTCTTGAGCGGCAAATCTGTGACGAAGGGCCTGGTGCCTTGTACGAGAGTTATATAAAAAACGAGGAGATGATGATGGACGACGCGGAGAATGTTTACCTAGAACCTGCCGTGGGTGCAGCTGATGTTTATGACAATGCCCGCCCACTCAGTGCAAGTGACAATGATACCAATATCTATGACGACGTTGATGTTTCTTTTTCGGCAGCTGGCTCTGGTTCCCACAAAGAACACTCCACTTCTACTGCCAACCTGTCGGATTGTCAAGCAAAATCCGGTGCTGCAGTTGACGTCTCCAGAGACGTTTGTGATTCTGTCAAGCTGTCTAAGTCTAGTACAGGACGCGAATCAAATGTTTATGAACCTGTAAAATCAAATGAGAATTGTGAATTAGAAAGCAGCATGTCAAAGAAAGAGACATGTGTTGCCACTGAAGATAAAACATCTGTTCAAAATAATGATATTCCTGGGTTATCTGAAAGCACTGTTGCTCAAAGTGTTGAAGGGAAGGGCTCTCCTGAGTCTTCTGTCTCAAAATTGGGGGAATCGTGTTCATATCACGGTGGTACAGGCGACAAAAAATGCGAAGAAAATAGCGTCCATTTTGTACCAACTATAACAGCACAGTTTACACCTGTTGCTTGTAAAGAGAGTGTGCCACGGGCAGAAAATGGTGGCGCCGATGCCGGTTCGAGTCAAGTGTTTACCATCAATCTTGATCAGGGTGGCGGGGCCGGGGCCAGCAGCGCGGCTGTGAAGCAAGACTCCCTGGACAGGCAGAGCTACGTGAACATGTACACCTCCTGCGATATGGTGCAGTCCTGTGGGATGTTCAGTAGCCGTGACGGTCAGGACCCTCGCAAGTCTTCCACGGAAGACGACGACGAGGAAGAGGAGGAGGAAGAGGATGTTCCGTCCAGTGTTCACACTGTGGTTCCCGAGGGTCAGAATGTGAGTGTGATTTCCGTGACGAGTGATGAGGTGTATGACACGGTTACTGTTGATAACGTTGACAGTGAGGGGAAGAGGAGCATCACAAGTCCGTCGGATACAGTTTCCGCAGCCGCTGAATCTTGTCTCGAGGTTTCATCGGGTACGGCAAATAACAATAAAAAGGAAGTAGTCCTCGCTTCCCTTTCTACCGACTCGCAGGCGGAAGACTGTCTGTCGGTAAATTCTCAGTTCATCGAATCTACTTCTCCTGTTCTGGATGGGTCGGGTTCTGACAAAGTAAGACGACGACGGAAACTGGAGAAGAACCCTTCGGCTGAGATAGGGAGCGATGACTCCTCGGATGAAGATGTTGGTGAGTCCAGTTTTTTGTCAGAATTTGTTCCTTAATCTTTTTAGTACTAGTATGAATTTTGTACAGCCTCTTTTTACTTATAGTACATTTTTTCTTTCTCTGTTTGTTTCTATTTAAAAAACTTCAGTTTCAAAGGGAAACAGGATGCGCTTCATTGGTGTCATTTATCATTGTCATATACATCTCAAAATGCAAAGTTTTTAGGAGAAGCACAAAAAAGTGTTTTATTTCACTCGGGAGTCGTCTTAACATGAAATGTTGTAATTTGTCTCTAAATCCGTTACTATAGTAAGAAGAGAAATGAGACTGAGACCCAATTGATGCAAATCGTCAAACTGAAGACATATTACAAAGTTCCATTTGCTCTGACATTTTTGGCAGTTTTGAGTTGACCTTAGGGTCAGAATCCAAATGTTCTATTTGCTCCATCAAAACCATAATACTGTTTAGAATTGTTATCAAGATATATTCCATGAATTGCATTGGAAAAAGCTTGACATATATTGTCATGTGACACTCCTTTTTAAGTTTTTCGTTTAATTTCTCAAATCTAGGTAATGAGCAGCTTGAACCTTGTAATTCTAAGGTGCTGAATGTTATCTGGTTGATTTTTTCCTAATGGAGCCCACTCACTCACTCACTCACTTTTTTATTCACTCTTTCTCTCTCATTCTCTTTCTGTCTCAGGGCTCACTCTCGCTCCGTCTCTCTCTCTCTCTCTCTCTCTCTCTCTCTCTCTCTCTCTCTCTCTCTCTCTCTCTCTCTCTCTCTCTCTCTCTCTCTCTCTCTCTCTCGTCCCCTCCTCCACTCCCACCCCTCGCCCCACCTACACGAACATAAACCCACCCGATAGACGATTCAAGATTCGAACGTGAGTCACCCACAACAGTTTAGCCTGACAAGACAGAGCTAACATCGCACGCTCGAGTGTTGGACAATCAGATATTTTGTTGTCTGGCGCTTTCGGAGAAAAACCGTTCGCGTTGACGCTTTTGACAGGGGCTTAATTTACTGTGAGAAACAAGGCTCGCATCGATACCATCTTTTGTTGTCTGACGAATATTTCTGAAAAACAAAACTTGAACGTTGAAGCTTTATGAAAAAAACAAAAATGAAATGTCGAGGCTTTTGACAGGGGCTTAATTTACTGTGAGAAACGAGAAACACATCGATACAGCAACGGCTAGAAACTGCAAGAAAGAAAAACAGGCTAGTAAGAAAAACACAAGGAACAAGAAAGACAAACCTAAACAGCCAGAAAGAAAGAAAGAAAGAAAGAAAGAAAGAAAGAAAGAAAGAAAGAAAGAAAGAAAGAAAGAAAGAAAGAAAGACAAAAACAGCAAAAAAGAAAGGAAGACAGAAACAGCAAGAAAGAAACAACAAGAACGAGAGACAGAAACTACAAAAAAGACAGACAGAAACAGCAGAGCAGGTATCAGGGGCCTCTGAAGTATTATGGGTGGACCTTAAACGTATCAAATATATTTCAGTCACACACACACACACACACACACACACACACACACACACACACA